GAAGGATCACCGGAGCCCAGCAGGTTGAGGCTGCGGTGGCTGGGAGCAGCCACTGCACTCCAGTCAGGGCGACAGAGTGAGACTCCGACTCAAAAAAAAAAAAAAAAAGAATGCGCTAGGTTTCAAAGTTCTTCCTTGTTGTATTAAAAAGTATGAGTGGCCGGACTGGGTGGCTCAGCCTGTAATCCCAGCACTTTGGGAGGTTGAGGCGAGTGGATTGCCTGAGCCCAGGAGTTCAAGACCAGCCCAGGGAACTTGGTGAGACCTCGTCTCTACAATAAATCAAAAATTAGCCAGGCGTGGCAGCACGCATCTGTAGTTTCAGCTACTTGGAGGGCTGAGGTGGAGGGATCGCCGAAGCCCAGCAGGTCGAGGCTGGGGTGGCTGTGAGCATGCCACTGAACTTCAGATTGAGCGACAGAGTGAGACTCCAGCTCAAAAAAAAAAAAAGAAAGAATAAAATGTAAATTTTTTTTAAAGTATGAGTACATAGAATGTACACATCATCAAAGTGGCTTTCTCAGTGAGAAACAAAGTTTGCTCTGGATAAACCATGCTGAAAACCAAACAAGAGATTATAAGAGAGACTGACTGATTCTGTTTTATGTTTATTTACTGATATTTATGTTCCAATAAACCAAAAGCCACCTTTCACTTCATAGAGAGATGAATACCCAATTCATCTCTTAGGTCTTAGGTCAATTTAATTGAACCGTGGAGGACATTCACTTTCTCCATATCCACATCCAGCCTGACTGACTGCCTGTTGCTTTCACCTCACTTCCCTCAGACCGGATCCTCAAAACATCTCTATTCCTTACTAGATAACAGGCTATAATTTCCCTCTACACTGACAAACACCATCACATTTGGTGACTAAGAAGGCATTTTAGATGTCAATCTAAAAGCCAAGCCCTGCTGAGGAAAACGAATGTCAAGATCATGCTGTTATTAAATTATTCCTCTTCTTCAGAAGGGCAGACTTCCTTCATGTCTACCTTTCAACTAAGTAAGAAATGCTCTTCCTTGCTATTTTCTCTACTCTGTAACTTTCTAAATTTGAACTTTCAAAAAAATCCATGCAATTCTCTCCATTATAATTATGAAAGCATTAGCAACACATTCTTCTAACTCCAGAGGGAGAAAACAAATTATCTACCTATGCCTACCTTACATTCTCCCTTCTGGCCAACGTTTAAATTACAATACTTGTTATTCACCATATTGAATTTAGAGCTGAAAGGAAATTAAATGCAATGCATGAGGTGACTAAAACATAACAAAAATAAAAGGCTGTGAGGTCTAACAGACCGCATCCAAGTTCTACCATTTATCAATTTGATGGCTTGGAGTAAGTCACCCTCTGAACCTTGATTTTTATATGTATAAAATAGTAAAATACTACTTACCTTTCAAGGCCATTGTGAGGGCCATTGTGAGAGCCTATACTAATTGGCTAAAATAGTACAGATGCCACAGTAGATATTCAAAAACTGATTATTTTTCAGATGTGTTTTACTTTTCATTTTCATGATTCAAGAACTCACTTGTAACTAACTTATTCTCTTGTATATTGGAGGATGATGAGTTTGCTATTTATAATCAAAGCTGCTTTCTGGAGAGGGTTAATTGAGTAAGTAAAAGGCCCTTGTGTCTGAATACTGTAACAGCTTTAGTTTACAAATTTAGAGTAATAGATAAAGAAAGCTGAATTGGATATTTCTGGAATTCTGGGGAAAAGGGAAAAAAAGAAATATGAGATCTTGGAAGGATCTTGGAAGAAGATCTTGGAAGGATCTTGGAAGAAGAGTGCAAGATAGAGCCTAAAACAGGATGGGACCAGACATTTCATTTTGTTGAGACTGTGGAAGGATGTTTTAAGATAGAAGATGCAAACTGTTATTGCTTGAATGTGTTTGGACTACTGAACAGAAAATCTCTTCTCTATCTTCCTTCCAAATCTTCAGGAAAATCCCCTAAAGACATAACTGTTTTTGCGTGAATAGATTTTGTGTTGAAATTGAGGAACAGGATGAGCTTAAATGTGTATGACAGAAATAGCATTCACGAGACAGAAGCCTGGAACCAAAGGAGACGTGAGATCATAAGCAAAATATAAAAATCAGGCAATATCAACATGAGCAAGAAAGTGGATTAGAGTCCACTTTTCTATGTTGCTGGTGGAGTATAAATTGACCCAGACATTTTGGAAACCTTACCTAGTAAAGTTCAGTACATACATATCCTACAAAGCAGCAAAGTGAATTCCAGGTGTATGCCCTGGAGAAACTCTAGCTCATTTGTATGGGACTCATGCACAAGAACATTCGAGGCATTTTCATAAGAAAAATTGCAGCCGGGCTCGGTGGCTCAGCCTGTAATCCCGTGCCTTTGGGAGGCTGAGGTGAGTGAATTGCCTGAGCCCGCAGGTTCGAGACCTGCCTAGGCAGCAAGACCTCATCTCTACAATAAATAAAAAAAATCAGCCAGGCGTGGTGGTGCATGCCTGTAATTCTGGCTACTCGGAAGGCTGAGGCGGAAGGATTGCCGGAGCCCAGCAGGCCGAGGCTGCGGTGGCCGGGAGCGGCCACTGCACTCCAGTCTGGGAGACAGAGTGAGACTCCAACTCAAAAAAAAAAAAGAAAAATTGGGAACAGCAATAAAAATGCCACCTGCACCAGCACGAATCAATCTCAACAACATATTTTGGAGGGAAAAAAATAAATCCTAGAGGAATATACTATACAAGTGAGGGACCCAAAACAATGCTATAATTTATTTATAAAAGATTGTATATTTATTCTTACATGTTTAAACTTCAGTCACCTTCAAAGTACTCTCCGCTTGATGCAATAAACCTATCGAGATGCTTTGTCCACTACTCAAAACAGTTTTTGAACTTGTCTATTTTGATGCTTCTTAGTGCTTCTGTTGTTTTTTGTTTCACCTTTTCCACATTGGCAAAATGTTTCCTTTTGAGGACCTTTTTCATCCCAGGAAACAAAAAAAAGTTGCTCAGGCTGAGATTGGGTGAATAGGAAGGGTGGAGCACAGGGATCATGCCGTTTTGGGTCAAAAATTGCAAAACACTCAGAACTATGTGGACAGGTTGTTCATGTAAATCACCAATCACAGAATGGGCCAACGCGCTGAAAGAATATCCAGAAAAATTCACTGAAGCCAAGCACAGTCTCTCACAACAACACTAGCTGGTATACTGAAGCCAACAAGTTTCTAGAGCACTTACCTAGCCATGGAAGCCTATACTACAAGGGGCCTGCCTTCCAAAAAAATAATTCCAGCCTCTTTTTGGTCCTTCTTGTATGATTCTATTTATATAAATGGCAAAAAACGTGCAAAACTAAATCACAAATTTTATTTGGAGACAAAGATATATAAAGAATAAACACTTACAGAAAAACAAAGATGGTTAGTACAAAATATAAGACAGTGGTTGCCCGTGTGGTCGATGGGATGTGATCAGAGCGAGGCATAAAGAAGCCTTTAAGTCATTGACAATATTCTATTTCTTATGGTGGGTGGTAGAATACATATGGGCATTTTTTTTCAAATTGTACATGAGTGTTATCCTTGCTGTTTTGTATAGGTAAAATATTTTATGATATTAAAATAAAAGCATTTTTCAGTGAGCTGACATTGTGGCAGTGTAAGGAGATTATTATTATCAATTATAGTCAGGGTCTTGAATCTTAACACTTGTAGAAAAGCAGACAATATGGCCTTGGGACCACATAGTGCATGGAATTGAAATTGAGGCATAAGGATATATCAGCCTGAATGGTACAAGTTAAAAGTATTATTGCCCTGTACCCAAAAGCTAAAGAATGTGCACTTTTTAAGTCTCCATAAAACATTTATAAAAATTGAATATATATTATTAAACCATAAGAAAATTCTCTACAAGTACTAAAATGTCAATATCACATAAATAATGATCTCTGACAATTCACAGATTATAAATCAATTACATCAATGTGATTAAGTACCTGGAATGTGTAAGAGAGGACATTTCCACTCAGTCTGTAGAACTCTTTTCCATCCCCACTAAACACCTTTCTGCATTGACCACCAAAACTTTTGGTATTGATGACTCTGTTCCTAAACTGGTCAGTGAGTGCATTGTAACTGTTAGAAAGAGGAAGAGGAGGAAAGAAAAGGTAGTTTAAAAAAACAGAAATAGTACCTGCTGGGGGAAAAAAATATATAGTTAAGCACTTCTTAGAGAGAGTTCAAATAAAGAGAATAGCATCCTAATGCACACCATACATTATACAACTTCCCCTGCTTGGTATAATAGCTAAAACTAATAACTGGAAAAATCCAACATTCTTTCAGTCTAAGAACATATTTGGGACGCACACTACCCATTGTATCTATGGCAACAGCTGGGTTTGAATTGAATCTATAGATAAAACCAACACAATTAAGGTTACTCTAGAGGAGAGAGCTCTCTGTAATAAATTTCAACTAATTGTTAGCATGCTGAATGGTACACTCTAAAGTAATTTTACCCTATTTCTCTGCTAGTAATTTTAAAATACTATAGAAAAATCACGCATCTATCTCTCTGAAATAGACTATTTTAAAGACTCAAAACTTTAAGTCATATGACCCCTAAAAGTTCTTCAGAATTCTTTTTGAAAAAGCAAACACAGAATTTTACCAACTTCTTTTGGAAATGAAGGTTCCCAGCTACTTTAGGCAACCACTTTTCAGCCTGGGTATTAACAACAACACACTTGTTTCTCCCTTCTCTCCTGTTCTTTTTCTATTGTCTCTTTGTTCTCTGAGTAGCCTATATTATTGAATTAGTCTCCTCTCTCTCTCTCTCTCTCTCTCTCTCTCTCTCTCTTTCTCTCTCTCTGTCTGTCTCCTTATCCGCCCCCGCATAAGGTTACCAACAGTTTAGGTTTCCCTGAGACTGAGAGGTTTCCATAGATGCAGGAATTTCAGTGCTAAAACCAGCACTGTCTCAGAACAATGGTTGCTCTACATACTACCACGTATATTTACAGGTATACAGGTATGAATTTTTTTAAATGTTTCAGGATGTGGCAAAGAGCTCTGAGCTGATGAAAAGATTTGACTCTTAGGTTGTTTATTGGTAGACTTATCAAACCATACAACAAAACAAAATGTAAAACTATAACCCATTAATGTACTCAGAAGGCTGCCCATCACCTTACCCATTTCCAGTAAGTTCTACATTGGGAGGAGGTTTATCAACATCACAGGAAGGTCTCCTTTCTGCCTCCTCACATCTGTCTTCATCAGCACTATCTTCTTCACAGTCAGAATCACCATTACAAACCAATGATCTGCTGATGCACTGGCCTAAACACAAGAAAAACTCACATGCAAATATAAAAGAGAAAAGGGAAACACTATCCACAATCAAAAAGGTTTGCTTGCCACCCCAAACACTGCACTAATACACTAATGCAAATTTGAGGTAGATCTTCAGAGTGTCTAAGAAAGGACTACTGGTTATTTGTCTCCATTTTATAGCACACAGAAATGATAACTAAGCCAGAACCAAAATTGAAAATAGACCTGAACTCAAAATTTCAGGATATCACCAATAATCATCAAACACTTTGTCTATATCATACAGGATAAAGTATCCCTCTGCCCTTCAACTTTCAATTATTTTCCATAACAATAAGATGAAAAAGTTGAGATTTTCTTGGTGATTCTAAGAGCTTACAAAAGAGAACTCAGTCAGAAAATAAAAATTCAACATTTCTTTCTTTCACACCTATTCTGTGTAAGACACCCTTCCAGGTGTTGTGGTTCAAATATGATTGATAATGATCTTTACAAGATATGAATAGACATTTCTCAAAAGAAGACAAACAAGCAGCCAACAGATACATGAAAAAATGCTCAGCCTCAATAGTCATCAAAGAAACGCAAATTAAAACTACACTGAGATATTACCTAACTCCAGTCAGGATGGCCATCATCAAAAACTCAAAAAACAACAGATGCTGGAGAGGATGGAGCTAAAAGGAAACACTTCTATACTGTTGGTGGGAGTGTAAATTAGTACAGCCTCTGTGGAAAACAGTGTGGTGATTCCTAAAAGATCTAAAAATTGACCTTCCATATGACCCCGCGATCCCCTCACTGGGAATATACCCAGAAGAACTCAAATCACTCTATGAAAAAGATACCTGCACATGTATGTTTATCGCAGCCTTGTTCACAGTAGCAAGAACATGGAACCAACCATGTTGCTCATCAAAAGAGGACTGGATAAAAAAAATTGGTACATATACATGATGGAATATTATGCAGCCATAAAGAAAGACAAAATCATGAACTCCACAGCAACCTTGATAGACTTAGAGTCTATTATACTGAGTGATGTATTACAGAAACAAAGAACTGAGTATCGCATGTTCTCATTCATTAGCAAACCTTGAACAATTATAGTAATACTATAAGAAAAGGATTGGCAGTAGCAAACTGCTGGGGAGGGGGGAGGTGGGATTGGCAGTAGTGGAAATCTGCTGGGGGAGGGGGGCACACCTCATCAACAAGAATACCTGCATAATCAACATTTGTATACCTAACCCTGAATTGTACTCCACATCTTTAAAAAAAAAAAAACAAATAAAAAGAGAAAAAAAAAGAAAATGATTTTTACCAAACTTTTCACATACTTTGCAATCCACTCTGCAATGGTCATACTGGACCATTGCATAAATTGAAAGCCAAGCTTTCTATCATCTCCAATGATCTTACTTTTTTTTTTTTTTTTTTTTTGAGACAGAGTCTCACTCTGTCACCCAAGCTGGAAAGCAGTGGAACACTCCTGGCCACCACAGCCTTGACCTGCTGGACTCAGGCAATCCTTCCACCTCAGCCTTCCAAATAGCTGGAACTACAGGCACGTGCCACCATGCCCGGCTAATTTTTTTATTTATTGTAGAGATGAGGTCTCGCCAAGTTGCCCAGACTAGTCTCGAACCCACAGGCTCAGGCAATCCTCTCACCTCGGCCTCCCAAAGTGCTGGGATTATAGCCACCACGCCCAGACAATGATCTTACTTTTACAGTTTTCTCTGCCTAAAAGAATTTTCTCTACCTATCTCCTACTTGTCCTTCAAGAGTCAAATTAAACATTATATTCTCCTGAAAACCATCCCTACCTCAAAAACTATGATGCATGTTTTTTCCTCTATATCTTCATAGGATGCTTTGTGTACAACTGGTCTCGTAGTATAGCATGTACCCCACTTAACTGTCACTCAGTTCAATGCAGCAAACATTTATTGTGAGTCCATTATGTACCCGGCACTCCAGATGCCACAATAAAAGAAATATAATCCATTTCTTCAAGGAGTTCACAGTCCAACAAGAGAGACATCTAGGCCAACAAATAATCCAGATTCCAGATGGCACAATATACATAAGAAACACATAGGAGTGATTTGTTAATTAGTCCTATCAGTTGAGAATTTAGGGAATACTCCCTGAAGGAGATGTCATCTGATTTGGATTTTGAAAGTAAAATAAGAATTTGACAGGAATCATTAAGGAGTACTTCTAACACAGGAATTAATATATCCTATTCTGTTCATAAAACTTTGATTTTTAAGGGAAAAGACTGTGTGTTTCATTTTCATATCCACAAGCCTCATCACTATATTTGGAACATAACAATAATAATAAGTGTTTATTAAATTTTGTTGAATGAATCTGACTATGTAAGTGTAACATAGATAATATCAAATAATACTCAATGCCAAAATTATGTTTCAAACACCCCATGCATAAGGGTGACCTATTTTGTTTATTTTGATTAACTAATTAGAGTTGCTTTTCTTGTAAACATAAAATTTGGTCAGTAACATTGTTTCTGCCCAATCTCTATGTATATACCTGACTCACTCCACATCTTCACCAAATATGCACTGAAAAAAATTCTTTGGGTCTGTCAGTAGCCAGAGTGCTACTGAAACAAGTAGAGAGTATTCCCAGCTTTATTATCAGATGTCTCGCCTTACACTGGAAAAAAATGATTGCCGGGTGTGTGATAAATCTACCAAAAGAAGCCGGGCTCGGTGGCTCAGCCTGTAATCCCAGCGCTTTGGGAGGCTGAGGTGAGTGGATTGCCTGAGCCCGCGGGTTCGAGATCCGCCTGGGCAACTTGGCAAGACCTCGTCTCTACAATAAATCAAAAATTAGCTGGGCGTGGTAGCGCGCGCCTGTAGTTCCAGCTACTTGGAAAGTTGAGGCGGAAGGATCACCGGAGCCCAGCAGGTGGAGGCTGCGGTGGCCGGGAGCGGCCACTGCACTCCAGTCTGGGTGACAGAGTGAGACTCCAACTCAAAAAAAAAAAAAAACTACCAAAAGAAATCCTGCTGATATTTGAAGGAAATTAATTTAGAAGCCAATATATAAACTCAGTATTCCACACATACATATTGAGCAAGTTAAACAAATAGCATTTGAATTTATAGTTTTCATGCTGACAAATTACCTGAAAAACACCTAAAACGCTCTCCACATCCCTCCTCTGTTGGACATCCTCTTGTAGGTTCACATGATTGTGTTTCAAAAGCACTTCCAACACAGGGATGGCCCCCATACTGTCCATAAACAGCAATTGACCGCCTGCGAGTCTAAACACAAAGCAAATAGTGCTGTTACTAAGAAATCTTCAGTTCTTTTTATCTGAGTAATAAAACCTGAGATAGATTAATATGATTAGAGAAACAATGTCTAGGAAATTGTTCTGATGTTATACAGAGATAAAAACCTCAAAATCAATAGATACACACACACACTTATCCTTGAGTTCGGTGACACTTGAGTAATCATTTATAGAGAGCTCAGCTAAATATTTACTTCAGGACTGAATGCAAAATTTAAAAAATATTTCAGTGAATCTTTAGGAAAGTAACATGAGTTAAGCTTAACCAGTAGACATGTAAGCAAGTAGATTACAATATAGAATCTATATAATATTTTTACCAAACTGTGTGTACCAAGAGCTAATTAGAAGAGATGAAATTACTTTTTTTTGAAGAAGGGATAAAGGTACTGAGAAGGGAGGTAAGAAGAATCAGAGTTAGAGAAACCTTCAGAAAAGAGGTGGTAATTGATGTGAGCTGAACTGTACACTTTCTTGAGGAAGAAAAGCCAAAAAAATTTTTTTCACAGAGAAATATATTAATATGGAGGTCAAATTTACAAAGCAGAAGCCCAAGTATTTCAAAGGTAAAGCCACATCCACAATGTAATTTTACTAAACAACCAAAAACACTGAGCTTTGAAATGGGAAGTATGTTAAAAAACAAACCTCTACAGGAAAAGAGTATAGGAAAACTGAGGAAATCATCAAGCTAAATGAAAAACTTACAACTAGTTTGTCCTAACAAATATAGACAAATAGCTTTCTATTTGTCTTCCTCTCCACTAGCAAAGAAGTGTCTTTTAGACCTCTTCCTGTATTCACCTCTTCTCCAATAATAAAAACTAACAAAATCTGGGGTTTCTGAGGATGTAAACTATAAGCAAAGATCAACAGGAAAGAATCAGTGTGCACAGCAATGTTGAATTTATCCATCCGTTCTAAATTGGGATTCCTAGGGACAAGGGGGTCACAGAAACGTAATCTGACTCTGCCCAGGTTTGTATCACCCAGAGCCTGGCTCTGGCGCCTTTTATTGTGTCTAAGCAGAGGAGCCACAGAAATGTATGAGTGGGGAATGAAGGCCAGTAAAGTTTCTTGACATGTTTTTACTTTCTGCTTTTAATTGATGAAGACATCTCTCATGTGTGGCTTACCAAGGTGTCCTTTTCTGAGGTTCCAGAGGACAGATGATGTTGTTTGCATAAGGAGTATTTTCCGTTTGCATCACACCGGGTTGCCCTTGATGATAGCAAATTTTCAACAGTCTCATTCTCACCTGTCAAATTCTGATTTTACAATCTCTTTTTCATTTGCGCTTTTCTCTAAATGAAAATTTTGTTTTTATAATCTAGGGATGTATCCAATTGCATAATGGCCTTCACACAAAGAAAAACATACTTATATAAAAAATACTCTCTATCTTTCTGCATCTATTTAGTGTTCTTTCTTGTTTTAAATTATAGAAATGTTTCATGTGCTTGATGTTTCTTTGACTTTTTCCTGCTAATGTACCTGTTTGCCTGAAATTAGAGTTATATTATACTTGCTGGAAGCCAAATTCTTCATTTGTGCAATTTGTTTTGAAAAGATCACTCATGTAGCTACTAAATAAAGGCTTGATAAAAGTGATAATAATGCTGGTTCAAAACAGAAGTTGTCCCCAATAAAATATGATTTTGTTATTTTAATAATTTAAAAATTATTTTTAAATATATGTTCTTTTCCAAACTGGATGACTTTAAAACTACTTCACTATTCAGCTGTTCAGATCCTTTAAGGTAAGCAGTCTATTTCTAAGACTTTATCCTCAGAAAATTGGGAAAGAGGATAGATATTTGTGTACAAAAATGTTTACTAAGTTTTATTTAAATAAAAAAAAGGAAGCAACCTAAATATAAAACCATTAAAAAGTAGAATAATAAGAAAAGTATATCTTGGCAGGGTGCAGTGGCTCATGCCTGTAATCCAGGCACTTTGGGAGGCCAAGGTGGGAGGATTGCTTGAGCCCAGGAGTTCAATACCAGCCAGAGCAAAATGGTGAGATCTTGTCTCTACAAAAAACTCTAAAAATTAACTGGGTGTTTAGTGTGTGCCTGTAGTCCTAGTTACTTGGGCGGCTGAAGTAGAAGGATCACTTGAGCCCAGGAGGTCAAGACTAGGCAACAGAACGAGACTCCAACTCAAAAATAAAAAATAAAAAGGTTTATCCAAATAATGGAACGTGTTACTGCTGTTAAAAGTTATTATACTGATAGTATAATATTAGGTTAAGACAGTAGACTATAAAACTGTGATCAAATAATCTTATTTTTAAAAATTATGAGCACACAGAGAGAAAAAGTACATAGAGCTAAAAGAATAGATACCAAATGCCATCACATTTGTTTCTCCTAAGTGGTGGAATTATGAGTAATGCTTTTTTTAAAATATCTTTCTGTATTTTCTTCAAGAACATTTCACGATAAGGAAAAAAAACCAGACATTTTTAGAAGCACTCTATAATAAACTCAGATCAAGTCTAGCATTTTATTTGTATTACTTAGGAATTAAACTTTAAAACATTGCAAAATGTTTTATTTTTCACGATCTTTCATTATTTGTGAAGTAAAACCAAGCATTTTGTTATTTGCTAGTTTGTTTGAAATGAGAAGGAAAGTTGACCTCAGTGAATATAAAACAGTTTTTTAATTTTTTACAAATTTTATTTCATATTATTTCTATTTCTCTAATAGTTAAAAAGTTAGTGAGTTGCCTTCAACTTTTAGTCTGTGTATATTTCTAGCTCAAAGGTAAGATCTAGAAAAGTCCTTCAAGGTCGGGCACAGTGGCTCAAGCCTATAATCCCAGCACTTTGGGAGGCCGAGGCAAGAGGATTGCCTGAACCTGTGGGTTCGAGATGAACTGGTCAACATGGTGAGACCTCGTCTCTATAATAAATCAAAAAGAAATTAGCTGGGAATGGTAGCACATGCCTGTAGTTCCAACTACATGGAAGGCTGAGGCAGAAGGATCACCTGAGCCCAGCAGGTCTAGGCTGTGGTGGCTGGGAGCATGCCACTGCACTCTAGCCTGGGCAACAGAGTGAGATTCCAACAAAAAAAAAAAAAAAAAAAGTCCTTCAAGAAAAATGAATGTAGAAATTACTTTATTACAATATTAATTATTAAACAAGTTATACTCTTCTTCCTTCAGAATACTAGCAAAATTTTCAAGAAATATTAGCATTAACTTTTGAGCATTCAATCATCAATACAATTTGAGTCATACTTAAGCTATTTCTGCATATAAATAATCAAATAAAAAATTTTGTGTGGTTTTACCTGAGTCTTTGTACAGCCATTGCATTCTGACCAAGTGGCATAGGAGTCCCACTGGCAATTGACCGGAGAGGAGGCACTGCCATAATGTCAAATTGTCCATCATAAGGCGAGTTGGAAGACAGGGAAAGGACGCAAAGAAAATTGAAAATAGTCATAAATAGTAAAAAAAAAAAAAAATCTGTTTCAAAATTTTTTTCTAAGAGACACTAAAAGCTTCCCAAAATATACAAAAATCTATTAGGTACTATCAAGACACTAGTGTTATAAAAACAATAAAAGAGACAGGTCATTGACTGTTACTCAAGAAAAGGACAGAGACATAGATGTATAAACAAATAAGCATAAAGCAATATATCTAATCTGATAGAGTTTATATCAGAAATATGTACAATATAATATGTTATGGAAATATAGATAAAGGAGCATTCTTAGTTTATGGGGAGATGGGTAGGTGAGAATAGACAGGAGAAAGGTATTATGACCTGTGAAGGGATTCCAAATGATGAATTGAAGAGTTACCCAGAAACTCTTAACTGAGTGGCAAGATGCTTTAATAAGTTCCTGTGAGAAGCGGAAACCTAAAAACTGGCAGAAACTAAATTGACAGGAATTTCAACGTTCGAATGCTCCCCTTGTTCATTTAAGCCACTTCTCAGGCACACACCCATGTAGGGCAATTTGAGCTTAAACAGTTTCTTCCACTCAAATAAAGTACATGTGAAAATGGAGAATTGACTCTCATACAATACAAACTCTGGCCATGTCCATGGAGGAGTTCACACGGGTTAGTTCTGAGAGATTAAAGAAGCCTGGCCTAAAACAGTGCTCTACAAGGGATAAAGGAGCCAGGACTCCTGATTTCTGGATTCCTGGTATTTTCCTAAGGGGAAAGAGTCAAGTTGATTCTTGCATATCATGTCTTAAGGCTGTCTGAAGGTAAAGACTCCCATTCTAGAGCATGTGCCACAGGTGCTCAAATAGAACCAATCTTGTTAACCTGTAGATTTTATATGACACCAATGATCAAAATATCTGAGTATTTTTGACCCTGAACAATCTGAACTTACTGTTATTTCTCTAGTCTGTATCCCAGGGAAAGGCAGAGGCCTTCCCCAAACACAGAGACTTCGGAGAGGAACCTTGCTTGATCTCTCTGTGTTTCCACAACAACCTGAGCAGGGCTCTCTCAGAATCCCCGATACCATAGTATTGCAATGAACTGTCTCAAGATATGAATCACACAGCAGACACCCAAGGGCTATCTTGCCCCTCTTTGTATCATGAGTACCTAGCACAGCCCCAACACATATTCTGATAGTTCCGTGAAGTGAACTGATCTGGCTCAGTCCCATAAATCTGACAGGAAAAGCACGACAAAGTCATGAGTAAAGGGTTCTGATTCTATTCCAGACTTGAGTCAATAAAACCATTTTCTTAAAAAACTCTCAACCTTTAAAACTCAGAGAATGTTTTGCAAGAATTACATTTAAAGATAAAATACTACTCTTAGATAAACAAGTCTGCTGTGATTCTCTGAATTATAGGTAAAACCATGGTACTAGGACAAAAATATTGAGTTAAGTTTTGTCTTCAAGTTTCTTTCTTACAGGGAAAAATAAAGTAAAATAAGAATAACATTAAAGCACAATTTGTTATTATTTCCTTTTTAAAAAATATGTAAAGAAAAAACCTGTTGGAGGAATAAACACACTCCAGCTGCAATGTAAAAATCAGACGCTACTAAAAAATTTCCTAAAAATTAATTTCCACACACTTTTTTAAAAATTCTCACCTTAAAAAAACTTGGAACTCTCTTGCAAACCCCACCAAAATGAATAAACTTATTGCCTAGAGAAGAGAAACAATAAAATGTTATTTTAGCTAGCTTACACTTTTTAACTATAAATTGACAATTTATAATTGCATGCACCTATGAGATACAAAGGGATGTTATGATTTATAAATACAATGTAGAATAAATGTACAATACTTCATTACTAGCTATATGCACCACACTGTGCAATAAACTCAAAAAATAAAGCTAAACACATTTCCCCTGTGATTTTGTACCCTTTGACCATCATCTTCCAATTCCCTCCAGCCCCCAGACTCTACAACCACCATTCGACACTCTGCTTTTATCAATTTGAATGTTTAGACTCCATGTATAGGTGAGAACATGCGCTATTTGCCTTTATGTGACTGGCTTATTTTACTTAGCATAACGCCCTCCAGTTCCATTCCTGTTGTCACAAATGACAGAATTATCTCCTTTTGTTAGGCTAAATAGTATTCCATTGTATGTACAAACCACATTTTCCTTATCCATTCATCTGCTGATGGGCATTTAGGTTGATTCCATGACTTAACTCTTATGAATAGTGCTACAATGAGTGCAGACATGTCTTCAACAAACTGACTTCAAATCTTTTACTTAAATATTCAAAAGTGAGCCGGGCTCGGTGGCTCAGCCTGTAATCCTGTCCCTTTGGGAGGCTGAGGTGAGTGGATTGCCTGAGCCCACAGGTTCGAGACCTGCCAGGGCAGGCGAGACCTCATCTCTACAGTAAATCAAAAAAATTAGCCAGGTGTGGAAGCGTGCGCCTGTAGTTCCAGCTACTTGGAAGGCTGAGGCAGAAGGATCGCCAAAGCCCAGCAGGTCAAGGCTGTGGTGGCCGGGAGTGGCCACTGCACTCCAGTCTGGGTGACAGAGTGAGACTCCAACTCAAAAAAAAAAAAAATTCAAAAGTGGAATTGTTAGACTACATGATAATTCTATTTTTAGTTCTGTGAGGACCCTCCATGTAGTTGTCCATAATGGCTGTACTAATTATATTTCCATCAATCATGTAAAGGGTTCTATTGCTTCCACATCCACACCAACATTTCCTCTTTATGATAATAGCCATTCTGACAAGTGTGAGATAATATTGTTAAAACCAAAATTCTAAATCCGAGAGACCACCAAAGAGCCAGCTCCGATGCAAACACACGAGGGTCTTTAGTCAGGCTCAAGTCTGGGCTCACAAACTGAAACCGATGCAGCGGCTTGAGCTTGAGAGCCCCGATTCAGTATAGTAAGCAGTTTTTATGCACAAGTACAGAGGGAGAGACTGGGCGTGACTGGTTTTTCCTAGGTTTTGCAACATTAACCAATCAGAAGAGGTCATGACCCAGAAACCGAAGTCTGCGGACCTTGCATAGTTAGTCCCCAATCAGGTCTGCAGTGATGTCAAGGGACAGGGGTGCTTGAGATTGGTTGGTTTGTTTTTGGTTTTGCGCGGGCTCGAGTTCAGTTGCCTGTGATTGAGGGGAAACGGCTAAACAGGCAGAGTGGAATGCCAGATAAGCTAGGTTTACACAGTCACTGCACGTAAATTAACTCTGGCATGCAAGCAGGAGGCTTGAAACAACACAAAGCCCACCAGGAGAGTGACTGGCGCCACAGAGTCTACCATAATCTAAGCAAAGGAATGTCCGGAAGGGGCTTATTGCTTAACATTTACACCCTGTTGCAGAAGCAGAAGAAGCCAACATGGCAATTGGGATAAACAAAAGCTTAACAAAGTTCTAAGTACAAACACTGCTTAAAGCATTGTATAATTTTACAATCATAGTCACTACCAGGCACCCGACATGTGCCTAGTCCTACGGGGTCTGAGGTAGGATTTAAAATACTAAGAATTCATAAAATATAGTGAACGTGAGGCAGGGATATATAAAATACAATGAACGTGAGGTAGGAATATATAAAATACAATGAACGTGAGGTAGGGATATATAAAATACAATGAATGTGAGGTGGGGATATATAAAATACGATGAACGTGAGGTAGGGATATATAAAATACAGTGAACGCTTCTCTTACAGCAAGTATAGCTTTTTTTTTAGTCTCTTGGGTCTCTCAATATCTCATTGCAAATTTAACTTGTATTTCCCTAATGATTAGCAATGTTGAGAATTTTTTTATATCTGTTGGTCATTTGTATATCTTCTTTTGAGAAATGTCTATTCAGTTCACTCGCTCATTTTCTTAACCAAACTTTCTTGCTATTGAGTCATTTGAGCAGCTAATATATTTTGAATATTAATATTTTATCAGATTATGGTTTACAAATATTTTCTCTCACTTCATAGGTTGTCTTTGCACACTGTTGTTTCTGTTTGTTTAAATTCAAGGGATACTTGCACAAGTTTGCACAATGGTGAGGTACGGGCTTCTTCAAACCCATCACCAGAATGATGTGCCTGGTACCCAATAGGTAGTTTTTCAACCCTTGCCACCTTCCTTCCTCTCCTTTTAGGAGTCCCCAGTGTCTTTATCCCCATTTTTATGTCCATATGTACCAAGTGTTTAGTTGTCACTTGTAAGTGACAACATGTGATATTTGGTTTTCTGCTTCTATGTTAATTCACTTAGAATAATGGCCTCCAACTGCATCAATCAGTGCTGCAAAGTACATGATTTTATTCTTATTTATGGCTGCATGGTATTCCATGGCATATGCATACCACATTTTCTTTATCCATTCCACTGAATATGGGATCCTAGTTTGTTTTCATGTTTTTGCTATTGTGAATAGTACTACAATAAACATATGAGTCTGCACCCTATTGTTTCTTTTTCTGTGAAGAAACTTTTTTGTTTATTGTAATTTATCTATTTTTGATTTCATTTGCTTTTGGGGTCAAATCCAAAAAAAAATCACTACCCAGACCAATATCATGTAGTTTTCCTCTAGGTTTTCTTCAAGTAGCTTTAGTTCCTGGTCTTCATTTAAGTCTTTAATCCATTTTGAGTTGATTTGTGTATATGGTGTGAAATAAGAATCCAATTTTATGTTTCTGCATGTGGATATTCAGTTTTCCCAATACCATTTAATAAGGAGACTTATCCTTTTCCTATTGTGTATTCTTGACACGTTTGTCAAAAATCAGTTGACTATACATGATATGTGAGTTCACTTCTGGGCACTCCATTTTTTTTTTCCAGTGGTTAGTGTGTCTATTTTTGCCAGTATCATGCTGTTTTAATTATCATAGCTCAGTAATAAAGTTTGAAATCAGGTATTGTGATGCCTCCAGTTTTGTTCATCTTGCTCATAATAGCCTTGGTTATTTGAAGGTATTTGTGGTTCCATATGAGGTTTAAGATTGGTTTTTTTCTACTTCTATGAAAAATGACATTGGAATTTTTGTAGAGATTGCATTTAATCTGTAAATCACTTTGGGTAATTTAAACATGTTAACAATATTTTTTCAATCCATGAACACAGGATATCTTTCCACTTATTTGTGTCTTCTTTAATTTCTTCCTTAAACATTTTATCATTTTCAATATACAGCTCTTTTACCTCTCTGGTTTAATTTATTCTTAAGTATTCTAATTTTTGTAGCTATTATAAATTGGATTGTTTTCTTCATTTTTTTTTTTTTTGGATGGTTTATTATTAGTGTATAGAAATGCTACTGATTTTTTAGTGTTGATTTTGTATCCTGCAAATTTACTGCATTCATTTATTAGTTCTAATAATTTTTTGGTGGAATGTATAGGATTTTCTCTATATAAGATCATGCTATCAGCAAACTTTGGCAATTTCACTTCCTTCTTCTCTAGTTTGATGCCTTTTATTTCTTTCTCTTGACTAATTGCTTCAGTTGGGACTTTTCAGTACTGTGTTGAATAGAAATGACAAAGGTAGACACTCTTGTCTTGCTCCAGAGCCTAGAGGAAAGGCTTTCAATTTTTTTTATCAGGGTATAATGTTACCTGTGGACTTCTCATTTATGACTTTTATTGTGTTAAGGTACAATTTATTCTACGACAATTTGGTGAGAGTTTGTATCATGAAAGTTGTTAAAGTATGCCGAATGCTTTTTCCTGCATCTAATGAGATCATCCTGTGATCATTTTTGTCCTTGATGCTGGTAATGTGATGTATCACATTCATTGATTTGTGTATGTTGAACCTTACATCACAAGGATAAATCCCATTTGATCATGGTAGATATTCCTTTTAATGTGTTGTTGAATTCAGCTTGCTAATATTTCGTTGAGGATTTTTGCATCTCTACTTGTCAAGAATATTGGTGTATAATGTTCTTTTCTTGTAACCATCTTATCTGGCTTTGGTATCAGGGTAATGCTGGTCTCATTAAAATAGTTTAGAAAGATTTCTTCCTTTTTGACTGTTTGGAAGAGTTTGAGAATGATCAGTATTAGTTGGTTTTGTTGTTGTTGTTTTTAATACTTGTTAGACTTCAACCATGAAGCCATCAGGTCCCTGGCTTTTCTTTGGTAAGAAATTTTTTTTTAAGGCTTTTTTTTTTTTCCTTGAGTTGGAGTCTCACTCTGTCACCCAGACTGGAGTGCAGTGGCCGCTCCCGGTCACCGCAGGCTCGACCTGCTGGGCTCCAGCGATCCTTCCGCCTCAGCCTTTCAAGTAGCCGGAACTACAGGCACGTGCTACCACGGCCGACTAATTTTTGAATTAGTGTAGAGATGAGGTCTCGCCAATTTGCCCAGGCAAGTCTCGAACCCTTGGGCTCAGGCAGTTCACTCACCTCGGCCTCTCAAAGCATGGGATTACAGGCTGAGCCACCGAGCCTGGCTGGTAAGAAATCTTTTATCACCAGTTCAATCTTTTTACTTGTTATTGGTCTGTTCAAATACTCTATTTCTTCGTGATTCAGTCTTTGGAGGTTATATGTATCTAGGAATTTATCTATTTATGCTAGCTAATTTTTGGAATATAATTACTCATAGTAGCCTCATGGTCCTTTGTATTTAGTGTTATCAGTTGTAATATGTCTTCTCTTTCATTTATGATTTTATTTATTTGAATCT